GATACGGGTTTCTCTTTGTTGTAAAGAGGGTTTAGAATTTAAACCGGGAGGAATTATGGTGGCTGAATGTGATTTCTTGTATCGGATGAGTAGTTATTGGTGGAGAAGGTGAGAGTGGATGAAGGAAAGCTTGCTGTTGCTAGGGGTGATTTCTAGGGCTTTGAGCAGGCTGCTATTGATGACGTCGTACTGTTATTTATAGGCCCGCAGCTCAATTTCGTCAAAGACTCGAGTTGTTAGGAAGTCGCCACTTTCCATCAGGCTTAGACACACGCAAAAACCCCACTCCTGAGGCCCCTCACTTCCAACAAGCCAACCTAAGACAACTTTCCAGCTCTGCAATCCACTGCAGGGGTTCCTCTGTCTTGCCCCACCTGCCTGTGGTGCTGGCCCCACCTGCCCAGACCACGAGCTACCTGGGGAGTTCCTCTGTGTGTCCACCCACCCACGGTGCCATAGATCCGCTTGGTTGCATCAGCACTGGAATCAGGAGCATGATGCTAGTAATCTGTCATCCCAATATTACTGATAAAGTTAATCATAGGCCTGTCAATGCCACTAAGCTGACTGAACCCTTCTCAGTGATCCACTGTGGGGACACCTCCCCGGGCCTGCCCTCTTGCAGTACTAATGGACTCTGCTCAGGTTTCAGTGGTGCTGGACATCCCCATTTGCACCTAGGTGACCCAAGTTACCAATAAAATCAGGTGCTAAATGTAGATCCTTGGGATGATTGCTGGTATGCTGGTGTGGTGTGTCTTCTGCCTTAACCCAGGGAGGTCAGATGGCCATTCTCGCCTGCCAGTCACTCCCCGGGAAAGTCTTCGATGTCCTTTCTCTGCTGCCTGTCAGCGCTCCGCAGGATGGATCTTCTTATTTTTTTTTCCCCTGTACCTTTCTCCTCCCTAATTCTACTCCTCTGAGTTTGGTGCACTCTTACTCAGTGAGCTGATCAGAGCACCAGAATCCTTAATTCAAACTGCTGTACCTAATTTTTCAAGCCTTAAGATGCTAGAGGGAAATAGCGTAGTGATTACTGACGAGACTCCATTTTGAATCCTCTAATATTTAATTTTAACAAATATTTAATACCTGTAGTGGTTTTTGGCTGCTAACCAAGGTGGTTCGAACCCACCAGCCACTCTGCAGAAGAAAGATCAGGCAGTCTTCTTCCATAAAGATTTATAGCCTTGGAAACCCAGTGGGGGTTGCTATGAGTTGGAATTGACTTTATAATAATTAGTTTCATTTTTGGTGGTTTACTACCTATATAACTCTTTTCTGTGTTCAGCATGTAATATTGAATTAATGTAATCTGGGATAAAATATCTTTAGTATATTATTCTTTTCATATATTCCTTGATTCCATTTGTTAATATTTAGTTGAAGAGTTTTGCAACTCTGTTCATGAGGCATATTGATCCGTTTTCTTAAACTCTTTTCTTACGTTTTTCAGTATCAGGGTGATACTGTCTTCATAAAACAAGTTATATGTTTTCCTTTTCTGTTAACTTTTCTAGAAGAGATTGTGTAGAATTGCCATTATTTCTTCTTTACAAGTTTGGAAGAATTCAACAATGATACCGTCATGACCTGGATATTTCTTTATATGGAAGTTTTTAACTACTAATTCTATTAAAAAAAATTATTATAGGATTAAATCATTCTCAGTGACCTTTGTTAGTGTGTGGTTTTCAAAGAATTGACCCATTTCATCTAACTTGTCAAATTTATGCCTTTATTATCCTTTTACCATTTTAGATATCTATTGTAATAGATCCTCTTTCGTTCCTAGTATTGGTAGTGCCTAAGGCATTTGACTGCTAACTGGAAGGTTGGTGGTTCAAACTCATGAGCCACCCTGCAGAAGGAAGACTGGGCAATCTACTTCTGTAAAGATTTACTGCCTCAGAGACCCAGTGGGGGTCGCTATGAGTTGGAATAGACTCGATGGCAGTGAGTTTGGGTTTTTTCTTTGTTTGTTTGTTTTTGGTTTATTGGCAATTTATGTCTTCTTTTTTTCCTTTATTACTCTTGCTACAGGTTCATTAATTTTATTGATCTTTTCAATGAACAAGCCTTTGGGTTCATTGAATTCTCTATATTGGTTTTCTATTTTTAGTTTTATTGAATTCTGCTCTTGATTATTTCATTTCTTATGCTTTAGTTTCATTTTGCTCTTTTTGTAACTTTTTAAGGGAAAAAAACAAACCTGCTGTTGAACTGACCTTGACTCATAGTGACCCCATAGAGCAGAGTAGAACTGCCCCACAGGGTTTCCAAGGCTGTATTCTTTGTGGAAGCAGACTGCCTCATCATTCTCCCATGAGTGGCTGGTGGGTTCAAACTGCTGACCTTTCAGTTAGTAGTTGAGTGTTAACCACTGCACCTCTAGGGCTTCTTTTAAGGGAAAAGCTTAGGTAATTAATTCTTTCGATATGATAAATTAAAGATATCATTTCTCTTTAAGTATTGCTTTATGCATACCACATAATTTGATATCGTATATTTTCATTTCCATTCAGTTCAAACTATTTTCTAATTTCCCTTGAGATTTTTCTTTGACCAATGGAATAAGAGTATGTTGTTTACTGTCCAGTGTTTGGAGATTTTTCTGTATCCTTCTCTTAGTGATTTCTACTTTAATTTCATTATAATCAGAGGATACACTTTATATGATTTCAGTTCTTTTAAATTCATTAAGGTTGGTTTTATGACAAATAAGGCCTACTTTGATTAGGGTGGGCAAAGTATTGTTGATGGGCTAATCTGATCTATGACGTGGTTTTGTAAATGTAGTTTCTAGAACACAGCTATACCCATTTATATGTTTTATATTCCTATAGCAGACTTGGGAGCTCTGGTAACATAGTGCCTAAGGCAGTTGAATGCTAACCAGAAGGCTGATGGTTCAAACCCCCCCAGCCACTCCTTGGAAGGAAGGTTGGGCAATCTACTTCCATAGTGATACCAACTCAGATACCCAAGGAAGGGTTGCTATGAGTCAGGTCCAACTCAACGGCACATAACAACATAGCAGAATTGAGTTTTTCCAACAGAAAATACCCTACAAAACTGAAGATATTTACTGTCTGGCCTTCTAAAGAAAAATTTGCTGATCCATAATCATGGTGAAGGAGTTCTGGTGGTTAAAGTATTCGGCTACTAACCAAAAATTTCGAACCCACTAACTCCACCATGGAAGAAAGATAAAGCAGCCTGCTTCCTTAAAGATTTACAGCCTTGGAAACCCTATGGGGCAATTTTACTCTGTCCTATAGGGTTGCTATGAGTCAGAATTGACTCAATGGCAGTAGATTTGTTTTCATTTAATCATGGTGAATGTTAAATGTGTACATAAAAAGAATGTGTGTGTATTCTGCTATTGTTGGGTAGAGTGTTTCTCTAGAAGTAATGTGTCATTTCTTTCTGGCTGCATTTAGTTTTTCTTTGTTATTAATTTTCAGCAGTTCATGTCTGGCCAAACTTCTGAGTTTTTGTTTGTAATTTTATGTCTATTGTGAAATTTAAGCAGATTTGAGCCATTATTTCTTCAAAAGTTCTTTTCTACACTACATTCTTCCTATTCACCCTGGAGGACAACTGCTGACACAAATGTTAGATTATTTGATATTGCCACCACACCCCTGAGGCTCTGTTCATTTTTCCGCCTCCCCCCTGCCACCCAGACTTTTCTCTCTAGTTAAGACTAGGTAATCAACATTATGTATCCTCAAGTTCATTGACAAATAAATATATGGGGAAAAAAGATTGAGGGTATGTATTCTCCAACTCATAATATTATTTGTGCTTTGTTTTTCCTATTTCTTTTAAGGTAGCAAAGGCATTTTGCATAAGCAAGCTGAACTGTCATCAGAAAAATGTTTAATTGTACAAAGTTCATGATAAGAGAAATAATACAAAGTAAACATCATTTCTTGTCAGGCTGAAGCCTAGGGAACAAAACCACATGTTACGCATAGTAGAGGAAGAAAGCAGTGTTTATTGGGGAGCATTCAGCAGAGTGCACGTGTTCTCTCTACTTCTCCTCACCGATGGACCGGTGTGCTTGGACCAAGCACCGCTCTGTGCATAATGTGTAGTTATAGGTGAGGGAGGAATCCAGCTCCTATGCTGCTTTTTATGTGTAAGTAAAGTAAGATGCAATAGGGAACACCCTTGCAATTTTGGTAAAGTTGGGAATGTTTTGGACAAAGGAATGGGTCTTATTGCCAGTAAAACATCCAGAGCTTGTTCACCAGTATCCTGGGGTCATTTAGATACTGGAAACTGGAATCAGCTTGAGACTTTATAGCCCTTTCTGTTGAGCCACCTCATTGGTGGATTAACTAAAGTGTCAGGGAATGTAGGGTGGAATAGGAAGAGTGCAGCCATGGCTTTTCAAGAGACAAGCAGTTTATCACTACTCACATCTTTCCTGAATTCTACTCTTAGCTGCGTATCTATAATTTCTAAATAAGAGGAACGGAAGTACTTTCTTCTTAATGAAAATAATGATTCCGAGAGTGATCCAGCTTGTTTATCTCTCAAATTCCTATATTTTCCAGCCTGTAATAGGTTAGTATAGAAACTCTCACCTAAACAGTTACTAATAATTATAACATAACAACCTTGAAATAAAGGGAAAATATAAGAACTAGATTCATAGAAAATAATTAGAATTAATAAGGATCAAAAAATTTTTGATTCTTGCTTCTGGTAAAATATAAACATGCTTCTATTTCTTATGACTCTGGAATACAAATGCAGTATAAGTATAATTAAAATTGAGGCAAGGATGTGTGCATTGGCCACAGCTGTATCCATATATAAACTTAACTACAAACAAAAGAGGTAAGTGACTTTTACAAAAATATATTGAGTTTTTAGTGCCATGTATTAAGTTTTAAGTAGAATACTAGAAAAATTAGAATTTTCAAAGGTATTAACTATAGAAAGCTTTATCTATTTTACTTTATGTCTTTTCTTACCTTTCTCAGGGGTATTGGAGAAGATATTCCACTAGAAAAAGATTTCTGAAATTGAAATATTATTCCATCATCCTGCAATCTAGGATAAGAATGATAATTGCTGTTACTTCTTATAAACAGTATCTATGGGCTATAGTTGTAATTCAAAGGTATTGGCGTGCTTATTTCAAGAGAAAACAAGATCAACAAATGTATAAAATGTTAAAATTGTCAGCCCTTAGAATCCAGTTAATGTTCAGAAGATGGAAGCGACGTAAGATGCAATTACAATTAAAAGCTACGATAATATTGCAAAGAGCTTTTAGAGAACAGCAAGTTAGGAAACGAGCTAAAGAAGAGAAATCTGCTGTTGTCATTCAGTCATGGTATAGAATGCAGAAAGAATTACGGAAATATGCTCATATTAGATCTAGTGTTGTTATAATTCAGAGAAGATTTAGGTGCTTTCAAGCCCAAAAGTTATATAAAAGAAAGAAAAAGTCTATTCTGACTATCCAAAAGTACTACAAAGCATATGTGAAGGGAAAGATTGAACGTACCCAGTATTTGCAGAAAAAGGCTGCAGCCATTCTACTGCAGGCTGCTTTCAGGAGAATGAAAGTGCGTAATTTACACAGACAGATTAGAGCTGCTTTTGTTTTTCAGTCCTATTGGAGAATGAGACAAGAAAAACTTCAATTTCTAAACCTTAAGAAGATTGTTATCAAATTGCAGGCACGCATAAGAAAAAATCAACAACTACAGAAATATAAGAAGATGAGGAAAGCTGCCCTTACAATTCAGGCTCATTTCCGAGTTTACATTTCATCCAGGAAAGTTCTAGCATCTTATCAGAAAACACGTTCTGCTGTCATTGTTCTACAGTCTGCATATAGGGGGATGCAAGCTAGAAGAAAGTTTATTCACATCCTGACATCTGTTATAAAGATTCAGTCATATTATCGGGCTTATACTTCCCATAAAAAATTTATGAACCTAAAAAAGGCAACAATAAAGTTACAGTCAATTGCCAAGATGAAGCAAACACGTAAACAATACTTACATTTAAGAGAAGCAGCACTGTGTATCCAGCAATGGTATCGTTCCAAAAAACTGGCTGCACTGCAGAGAGAAGAATATATGCAGGTGCAGAAATCTTGTATCAAACTACAAGCTTTCGTTAGAGGATATCTGGTCCGAAAGCAGATGAGGTTGCAAAGAAAAGCTGCTATTTTGCTACTATCTTATTTCAGAATGAGAAAGATACGGCAGTACTATCTGAAAATTTATAAAGGGACTATTATCATTCAGAATTACTACCATGCAAACAAAGCACAAGTGAATCAGAGGAGAAGTTTCTTGCAAGTCAAAAGAGCTGCTACCTGCTTACAGGCAGCTTACAGAGGTTATAAAGTACGCCAACTAATCAAACAACAATCTATAGCTGCTCTTCAAATTCAAACTGCTTTTAGAGGCTATAGTAAAAGGGTGAAGTATCAATCTGTGCTTCAATCTACTATCAAGATTCAGAGATGGTACAGGGCATACAAGACTGTTCATAATACAAGAACTCTTTTTTTAAAGACACGAGCAGCTGTAATATTTCTTCAGTCTGTTTATCGTGGCTGGAAAGTTCAGAAGCAGATCAGAAGAGAACATAATGCTGCAATGAAGATTCAGTCTGCTTTTAGAATGACCAAGGCCCAGAAACAGTTTAGATTATTAAAAAGAGCATCACTGGTCATCCAGCAACATCTGAGAGCAAGGACTGTAGGAAAGAAGTTACGTACAGAGTATGTTGAACTCCGAAATGCAGCACTGATGCTTCAGGCTACCTGGAAAGGAAAACAGGTGAGAAGACAGATTCAAAGGCAATACAAATGTGCAGTTATCATACAGTCATACTATAGAATGTATGTGCAACAAAAGAAGTGGAGAACCATGAGAAAAGCTGCCCTTCGGATTCAAATGAGTTATAGGGCTTACTGTATTGGACATAAACAGCATCATTTGTACTTGAAAACAAAAGCAGCTATAGTAACTTTACAATCATGTTACCAAGGTGCAAGAGTGAAAAAACAAGTGAAAGAGAGCAACAAAGCCGCAATCATTATACAAGCTAAATATAAAGCATACAAAGCAAAAAGGAAATATGCAACCCAGAGAGCTTCAGCTATTGCAATTCAGAGATGGTACCGAGATATTAACATGGCAAAACAACAGCGTAGGGACTATCTTAATTTAAAGAATGCAGCAATTAAGATCCAAGCTGTTTATAGAGGTATCAGAGCAAGGAGGTGTATTCGACACATGCACATGGCAGCCACTTTTATTAAAGCCATGTTTAAAATGCACCAGTCAAAAATAAGATACCATGCAATGAGAACAGCAGCTATTGTAATTCAAGTAAAATATAGAGCATACTGTCAGGGTAAAATACAGCGGGAAAAGTACTTGACAATTTTGAAAGCTGTTAATATAGTTCAGGCAAGGTTTAGAGGTTTAAGAGTCAGACAGAGTCTAAGAAAGATGCATATTGCAGCAGCAGTCATTCAGTCTCACTATAGAAGGTACAGACAGCAGAAGTATTTTAGTAAGCTAAAGAAGGTAGCAAAAACAGTACAGCAAAGATACCGGGCAGTAAAGGAAAGAAATATACAATTTCAAAGGTATAATAAGTTAAGAAACTCAGTCATATGCATTCAGGCTGTTTTTAGGGGAATGAAAGCTAGAAGACATTTGAAAAATAAGCATTTAGCAGCAACCCTTATTCAGAGGAGATTTAGAACTTTTATGATGAGAAGAAGATTTCTGTCTCTCAAGAAAACTGCTATTTGGGTTCAGAAAAAGTACCGTGCAAATGTTTGTGCAAGACATTGCTTACAAGAAGCTGTACAGTTACAAAAAGCGGTCATTAAAATCCAGTCATCGTACAGAAGATTGATGGTAAAGAAAAAGATGCAAGAGATGCACAAGGCAGCAGTCCTCATCCAGGCCACTTTCCGAATGCACAGGATGTATGTGAGATTTCAAAGTTGTAAACAAGCCTCAACTCTAATCCAGCACCATTATCGAGCATATAGAGCTGCAAAATTGCAGACAGAAAACTCTATCAGGCAACAACATTCTGCTGTGGTCATTCAGGCTGCTTATAAGGGAATGAAAGCAAGACAGCTTTTATGGGAGAAGCACAGAGCAGCTATTGTAATACAAAGCACATACAGAATGTATAGGCAGTGTAATTTCTACCAAAAGCTTCAGTGGGCTACAAAAGTAATACAAAGAAAGTATAGAGCAAATAAAAACAAGCAGAAAACACTTCAAAACTGTGCACTCAAGAAAACAACAACTTGTATTCAGGAAGTTTTCCAGGGCATAAACGTTGGGAAGCAAAGACAGAGAGAGCGTCAGGCTGCCACTGTTGTTCAGAAGCACTTCAAGGGAAGGAGGCATTATCTCCAGTTTACAATGCAAAGGCATACCCAAGCGGTTATTTGTATACAGTCTTCTTATAGAGGCTTTAGGGTACGAAAGGATATCCAGCGAATGCACCTGGCTGCCATGCTAATTCAGTCATTCTACAGAATGTACAGGGCCAGAGTTGTGTATCAAGCAAAGAAAACTGCAATCATTGTTATACAGAATTATTATAGGTCCTATGTTAGAGTAAAAATGGAAAGAAATAGATTTTTAGCAGTACAGAAATCTGCACAAACTATTCAGGCTGCTTTTAGAGGCATGAAAGTTAGACAGAAATTGAAAAACACATCTGACAGAAAGATGGCAGCCATTGTTATCCAGTCTGCATTCCGCTGTTACAGAACTCAAACTCAATATAAAGCTGTTCGAGGTGCAGCTGTTAGGATTCAAACATGGTATAAAGCTTGTCTACTGGCTCATTCACAGAAAGCAGAGTATCGCTCTCAAAGAAAGGCTGTAGTGACGATTCAAAAAGCTTTTCGTAAAATGGTCACAAGAAAACTGGAAATGCAGAAGTGTGCTGCCCTAAGAATCCAGTCCTTCCTTCACATGGCTGTGTATCAGAGAAGATTTGCTCGGCAAAGAAGAGCTGTTATCACTTTACAGCAGTATTTCAGGACATGGCAAACCAGAAAACAGTTTTTGTTGTATAGAAAAGCAGCACTGGTTTTACAAAATCATTACAGAGCATTTCTGTGTGTAAAATATCAAAGACAAGCTTATTTACAAATCAGGAGCAGTGTTATCATTATTCAAGTGAGAATGAAAGGATTTATACAGAAAAAGAAGTTTCAGAAAATTAAAGATAGCACCATAAAAATACAGGTATTTATACATTTAATTTTATCGTAAAACAGATTCTTTTTTTTAACCAACACTAGAATTCACAAAATCAGTATTAGAATTTATAAAATCAGCTTAAGCAGGTTATAAAGAATACTACTTAACTGAGTGACCATTTTATTTATCTTCTCAAGTGGGAAATTTTGGGGAGTGAGAAAAGGGGCACCAATAATAATTAAGTCAGGACCACACAGAGCTGGGATTGTTCTGGCCATGGTCAGCCTAAGGCTGGCACATTTCAGTAGGTGTTAATTTTAGTACTCTTGGAGAAGTTTTGAGAGTATAGTCTGATTGATGGAAACTCTCTAGCAAAGTTATTATTGTTAAGTAGAAATGTTAAGCTAAGGTAAAGTTCTATTTTACATAATCTAGGCCAAATAGGATAACTATTTCTTTATCACTTTCTTAACCAAAGCTACTTAGGATAGATAGACAACCTTTATTCAAAATGTTTAGCACTTATGGCTTCCAAAGCACTTTCATATTATTTTGTTTGATTTGTTCTCCAACTGTGTGAGAAATGTGGTATGTTATCTCTATTTTGAAATATGAGGAAAACTAAAGAGAGTTTAAGTAACTTGCCAGTGTTGCACAGAGAGGTAGATAGAGCCAAGTTTTAAATCTATTGAAGCTCTTTGTCTACTACCACAATAGACTGGGCTTTGGACCTATGTGTGATGTGTTGGGTTGCTGCTAAGCTTTAAAATAATACTTTATTCAACAAATGCTAAGTGCTTCCAGTGTGCAAAGTACTATACTGGGTGAATGGAATAGACTGAATAAGTTATATTTAGTTGGTGTCCTCAAAGAATTTGAGCAAGGAAGAACAATTATAATTGTGTTGCTAGAAACAGAGAAAGGGAACCTATTCCAAGGATCAGAGAAGGCTTCCTAGAGCAAATGGATTTAAGTTGAGATATTTTACTCAAAGATGAATTGAAATTAGCCATGTAAAATACATAGTAAGGAGTATTACATTCACAAGAGATATGGAAGAAAGTCCAAAAAATAATAGCATGTATAAAATTCCAAAGAGCCAAAGCCACTGCCTTTGAGTCATTTCTGACTCATAGTGACTCCCACTGGGTTTCTGAGGTGGGCGGTGTTAAATCTTTACAGAAGTAGATTCCCCTGTCTTCCTTCTTCGGAGTAGCTGATGGGTTTGAACCGCTAACCTTCTGGTTAGTAGTCAAATGCCTTAGGCACTGCACCACCAGAGCTCCTTAATAGCATGTACAGTGCAATATGAGACTAGGCTAGTGATAGAGGGAGTAAGACTGGATGATTTTATAAACATGGAAAAAAATTTAATCTTTATCCACCAGACTAAGAAGCTATAGAGGAATTTAAACACAAAAAGGCCAGAATCATATTTTTATGTTTGAAAAATTACTCTGGCAAGAATAAGGAGGATGAACTATGAAGAGAGCAAAAACTAGAAGCGTGAAGACTAGTTAGGAGACTGTATGGCTGTAGGTCAGGTGAAAGATACTAAGTTCAGTATAGCTATATGGGATTGTGAGGCTTTAATTTCAAGGATAAAATTGGCAGGATATAAACAAGGAATAGTGCCATGTTTATAGCTTAAGTAACTAGACAGATGGTGCCATTCACCAAGATACGGTACAAACATAGGACACGGTTTGGAAATTGATGACGAGTTGAATTTTGAGGTACATAAAGTCTGATATACCTAGCAGATGGCCAAGTTGAAATGTCCAGTAGGTAGTTGGCTTGTTTGTCGGGAGTTCAGGAGAATAGTATGGATTTCAGAATTTGGCTTGGCATACACATGGTAATTGAAGTCAAGGGGGTGATGGGATCACTTGGGAAGAATGCAAATGGGTAAGAAAGATTGGCATATCTGAAGAACATCAGAATTTAAGGACATATTGAAGAGAAGTCAACACATATTATTAAGAGGAAAACTAAGAAATTATGGTATCAGGAAACTAAGAATCAAGAATGTAACAGTTTCTAGGAAGCAGATGTGTTCAACTTCCAAATGCTGCCAAGAGGTTCAGCGTTAAAAAGTGTTTTTATTTTATTTAGGATTATATTAAGCTATGATTGGCAGAAAAACAATAATAACAACAATCTTAATGAAGTTGCAAAGGTTTTTTTTTAACTTATATAATTATAATTTATATTTTGCACACACAGTATTTAGAATATACCAGTGGTCTCAAACTTTGCTGCACATTGCAGTCACCGGGAATCTTTGAAAAATGCCAAGGCCTAGCTCCCACTCCGAGACATCCTGATTTAATTGGGTTGGTTGAAGGAGCAACCTGGGGATCAGGATTTTTAAAAGCTCCTAGATGATTCTGTAGATTAGCAAGGCTTGAGAACTACCAGTATGTATGCTATATATTACAGAATACATTTATACATACATGTTGATATTCAGGATTGTTTACATAAAAACTATGTAATATATGCTGAGTGAGTTAAGGGGATTCTGAGAGTAGCTTTTCCCATATATAATTCTTGCCATATTAACTAAAGTGATTAATCCGAATATAAAGTATGACTGCAGTGTCTGTTACAGTTTTGGAGTTTAACAGACTTGGGTTCAAATCTTACTACCCTTTGCTGACTATATGGTAGCAAGTCTCTTCTCTTTCATCTTCAGTTTCCTTTTCTGTAAAATAGAGACCATAATAACAATCTTAAAAAGATATTTGTAAAGATAAAATAAATTAGTTTTCACATATACTCCCTATGTTGCATCAAGAAGTTACTTAAACTCTCTGGGGCTTAGTTTCCTCATGTTACAGTAAGGACTAAAAGTGCTTAGTGTAGTGCTAAGTGCTCAAGAAGTGGTCTCTGTCACTTAAATTTAGCCAGCCACGAGATTGTCAAAATTGGAAATTCTTGCAGTTCTCTGATAGATAGGAGCTCTCAGCATTCTTCTTTAGGTGAGAAAGAGATTTGAAGATGTACATACAGTGAATGGAGTGTGTGTGTGGGGTACTTCCTATTCCTCTCCAGAGAGTAGAGTAGGCCACTGTGTTCAGTTTCCTTCCATTCTTCCAAATGGGTTGGGATGGTGAGGACATTGTTTATCTTATTTTCTAGATACTGGGCATATTTTACAATTTTTAAATATTGATTAGAGTTGTGTTAGACCCAAGCTGATAGCCAGCAATAGGGTATGTGTGACAAAACACATGGTAGGCATTCACTGTAGTAAGCACCAGTGCTCTTAATTATCGGATAACTCGGAGGGCTCACTTTGTGTCAGAATGAGTGAGCCTAATAGGAGCTCTGGTAGCATAGTGCCTGAGGCATTTGACTGCTAACCAGAAGGCTGGTGGTTCAAACCCACCAGCCACTCCTTAGAAGGAAGGTTGGGCAATCTACTTCTGTAGCGATACCGCCTCAGAAACTCAAGGGAGGGGTCACTACGAGTCGGGGTTGACTCGATGGCACATAACAACAGCAACAATAGAACAGCATGACATGACTATAGTTTTGCAATTGATTTTTGTCTGTGCTAACCTTGTATTAACCTTATTAATTGTCTTTAATATGCGTTCTTAGAGTTTACAACAAATAGAGCACTTATTGCATATTTGCTTAACTTGTGTGTTTCATAGGCTGTGTGGAGGAGATATAAAGCCAGTAATTCTTTATATAAAATGAAAGCTGCCTGCAAGATTCAAGCCTGGTATAGGTGTTACAGAGCACGTAAAGAATATCTAGCTGTATTAAAAGCTGTTAGAATCATTGAAGGCTGCTTCTGTACCAAACTGGAGCGGACACGGTAATGTATCAAAGCTATATATGACAGAAAGAGTATGAGTATGTGGTAGTCAGGTCCTTGTAAAATAACACTGTTTATTGATTTGGAAAAAAAAAAAAGTTTTCTATGCTTAATCTGTATGATTGGTTTTGTTGCTTTTATTTCCATTAATTAAACAGTATGTATCTATGTATTACATAATATAACTATGTGTTATATGTCTGATTTTTTGAGGTAGTACTTATCCTTGATGATATCTAATTTAATTATGTAATATATATTTATAGACACATAAACATGCACACATACAGTATAACTTGTGAAAGTCAGAACTTGTATAAGGTGGAAACCCATGAGAGAAAAACTCAAATATGAGTTATGGAAAACTGATAAAACTGTATGCTGTCAAAGGCAGAAAACTTGAGGGACTCGGAAAAGCAAGTCCATCCTGTCGAATTCTGACTCTCACAGGTTTTACTGTATGTGTGTATGCATTTACTCTATACAGAATTAATTCAGGTTCATAGGGATAAAGGTAAGAAATGAGGGGTAGAAAGAGTATAAGCATCAAGGAAGTGTTGGTTTCCTTACTAGTGCATTGATCCATTTTGTTATTGACTTATTTACTACTGGTGAAAGTTTTCTTACTCTTTTTTTTTCTTTTAACTTTATATTCATACTTAATAACAAAACCCTAATTACCAACCGGCCTATGCTAATTATATTTCCCTATTTCTAGTACATTTCTTTACATATATTTTTAGAAACTATTACCAGATTACCTACTTTTTACTTCACAGCATAAGAATTTTTCTTCAGTGCCCAGCATTGATCAATTATTGTATCAGTGATGGTTTTAAAGATAGTTTAAGTTTACTAGTGTTAGAAGAGTTCTCAAATCAGTTCTATTGGTAGAATCAAGGCTTGACATAAAAATACAGTTGCTACTGTTAAGGACCAATGTCTCATTTTCTAAGAAACATGGCAACAAGTTAATCTTTCTGTCTTTTCCACATTTTCAAGAATAAATCAAAGAGCCTGTCTTTCTCAAGTTTTATCTATTTCTGGTAGATTTCCATTTAGGCATTGATGGATCTTTCCTTCCAAGTAAGCATCCCTTCCTCATTTCCCTGATGCTGCTCATAATCTCGAGTTGTCTACTGCCTGACCACTGCCTACCTGCACAGAGACCCACTTACAATATAGACTCAGATTTTATACTTCATTATATCTGGTACCACCCTTCAACACCTAGACTTTGTCTACATCTATGTAATTATTCTTTTTTGCCCCTCTTCAAAATTCTTTGTCATACTAGAGTCTTAAATTTCATAATAGTGGTATAATGATTTACCCACTAGTGGAGTATTGCCAAGATAACTGCAAAATTTCTCTTTCATTGTATCAATTCATGCGTGTGTATAAAATTCTTTGTTTGAACGTAAGTATAAATTATCCTTTTGTCTTCATTTATTTTGTTACCACCTTTCTTATTTTATATTTTCTTTTTCCTCTTGTTAAAGGAAAGAGAGAATAAATATTAAGTAGATTTAAAGTAATTTGAAATTGCTTTCCAATGGCTGCTTTTTTTAGGTTTTTGAATATGAGAGCATCAACAGTAATCATTCAGAGGAGATGGAGAGCTGTACTTTCTAGAAGAATAGTTCATGAGCACTTCTTAATGATAAAAGTAGGTGCAAAAAAATTTCAGCTCATTTGTACAGAACTACTGAAACATACAGAAAACAAAACATTGTTTTTAAGATCTAACAATGCACATTTGTTTTTCACACATCTATTACAGTCAATTAAAATTATATTCATTCATAAATATATTATTTGGTAGTATATGTAGATGTGTATATTTATAGAATATTCTCAAACTCAAGTTAAAAGTGACTTCTAGAATAAACAATTTAGTTGGAGAAAATCATAATAGAGCATTTTCTCTAGTATAAGTCAAACACTTAATAACCTACTCTTTAAGCCACTGTTGGTAATTTATTTAAAAATGATAGTTAACATCAGTTTTATAATAGATGTAGTAGGTTTGAACTTCTACTTAGAAAATCAGAATAAAAAATTTACCTGTAAATTAGATGTTCATGTAATATTCATTATGGTTATATAAGCATAATATTATTGCTACTACAGTTAATATGTGCCAGGCATCAGTTAACCAAAACCACCAAACTCAACATCTGTCAAATCAGTTCTGACTCATATCAACTCCCATCGGGTTTCTGAGGTGGTAAATCTTTATGGAAATACATTGCCGCATCTTCCTTCTGCAGAGTGGCTGGTGGGTTTGAACAACCAACCTTCTGGTTAGCAGTCACATACCTTAGGCACTATGCCACCAGAGCTCCTTAGGCATCAGTTTAGCTCTTATATGTTTCTTATGTATTTACATACTACTTTGATCCTCCTGACAACCCTTTGAAGTAGCTATTAGCACACCCATTTTATAGATGAGGAAATGAGATCCATAGAAGTAAAGTGACTTGCCCAAGGTAACTCAGCTGGTAAGAAGGGGAGCTGTGTGGGAAAACAAATCTGGTTTCTATTATGACTCACATCTTTTTTTATGTATGTTAGAATTTGGTTGTCATGATGTATGCAATTGAGAAGTCTGAGGATGCTGGTGGTAGTCTATGATTCTTGAAGGTACAAATCGCTTCCCTCATAGATGTTTATAATGACTACTCTGCTCTCCATATTGCAGGTAGCAGTTTGTGGAGGGGGATAACTATAGTTACATTCATTCTTTTCTTCCTCACAATTAACATTATCAAAAGGATGAGGGAACGAGCACCTAGATATCTATTCACGCTGGCTTGCACTTCCATGAAAATGTCATTTTTAGTTATAGGCCTATATGCATTTAGAAATAATACACCATCACCTTTTCCTATCTATGAAATATGACATTTTTAAGCTTTTTACCTAAATAATGTTTTATATGCTCATAAATACACCATGTCTTTTAAGTTGAGAAATTCAAGAACTTAAGTGGGTTGAGTGGGAGCTCTGGTGGTGTAGTGCCTATGACTGCTCACCAGAAGTGTGAGTTTGAACCGCCAGCCACTCCTCGGAAGAAAGGTTGGGCAATCTACTTCCATAGTGATGTTGCCTCGGAAACCCAAGGAGGAGTTGCTATGAGTCGGATCTAACTCCACGGCAGTGGGTTTGGGTTTGGTTTGAAGTGGGTTGAGATTCTTACTATTTCTATTAATGTTACAAATTTTTCCTTACAGAGACATAATGCTGCTTGTTTGATCCAAGCAAAGTTTAGAGGATATAAGGGAAGGCAGATCTTTCTTCGGCAGAAATCTGCTGCTTTAATCATACAAAGGTATATACGAGCAAGGAAGGCTGGGAAGTTTGAAAGGATAAAATATGTTGAATTAAAAAAATCTACAGTTTTTCTACAAGCAGTGATCCGTAGGTGGTTAATAAGAAAAACAGTAAGTATTTTTAAGTAGAATATCTTTGTCTTCTTTAATGAAAAGTATTTATTGTTAAATAATGTTGGATTTGGGAGAATGATTTCAGAACTAATATAACCACTGACTTGAATTCACTCAGCTTTTGCAGAGCCACGTAAGAAGAGCACCAGTTGCCATAAATTTCTGAGCCTACTATTTCTCACATACTCACCAGCAAAATGTGAAATAAAACTTCTGTTATGTAACTAATCTTAAAAATGAAATGTGAGGGAGGTCTGTCGTTATTCATAGTTTTGCTGTCACTGTGCAACTCTTTGAGATGTTATAACTACTGTTCCTGTGATATGAGACTCTCCTTTGGGAACTCATGGAGATGTTTGGCATCTAATATGTTCACTGGCAAAGACATAATTAAATTTGCTATTTCAATGGGAAACTCTTTGGTATTTTGTTCATGAAATATGATTTGGAAGTCTTAAGGCCACTTTAGAAAGCTTATGGTACAGAGGTCTTGTACTAGACTTGTGCTGGATTATCTACTCCTGGAGAAATTAATTCACATCATTTCGTCTGGTTAAACAGCACTATCTTTAACACTTGGAATGCTTTAACCTTTTTTGAATCTAATATTGATACGCTTCTCTATTTTCATAAGTATATTATAAAACCTTCATAGGTGTTAGTAGTTAGTCTAATTACATTAAATACTCTTGTTTCTTAAAGTACCCAAAATATGATTCTGCTTTCTACATGCTGAATTATGGTTCACTATTAGAAAATTTGTATAGTAAAAGATTATGATCACCTTGAATTATAATGTAAATTTAATTACTGGAAGTTAATTTAGTATTGTTACTAGTTTATATAATTTGGTATTAAAGTTATATGAAAATAAATACTGATAGGTTGTCTTAGAGTCAACTATTTGATTAATGATGTTTTCTTCACCTTTTTAGATTTTAGAACACAAAGACAAAATTAGGCTTCTTCACTTCACAGCAGCTGCTTATTATCACCTGTCTGCTCTTAGAATTCAAAGAACCTATAAACTTCATATAGCTATTAAGAATGCTAAGAAGCAGATCAATTCAGTCATCTATATTCAGGTTAGCGTCTCATTTTTGTTAAAACTCTAATTTTTCAGTTATTGTTTCGAATTTAGTACACAATTTCCAAAAAACTTAGGTAAGATCATGTCATCTTTAGCCTTCTGCCACTGGTGAGTTAAGAGTAGGTTGATGCTTTATGTTAGAAAACTAAAACTGAGAATTATTCCAAGAAGTAGTTTCTATCACTTCTTTTTTCAGATCCTCAGTACATGGTATCTGAAGTCTTTCTGACTATTGCTGTTCTGATGAATGAAACATGGTTCCCCATTTTTGTTTTGCATTTCTTTGCTTACAAGCAACATTAATTTTTTTTTTCATATTGATTATCTCAGTTCCACATCTATGTATTACTCTTTTTTCTTCAATTTCCTGTGCTAATTTTTTTTCCTTATTAATTTGCAAATTAGTAATACCAGTGGAGGGTTGAAAGATATTTCAGTATAATGTTATGTGTGTACTCATAGAAATATATATGCATTTATTTGTTTATCCTGTTTTTTTATTTAAAAAAAATGAAGTAAACATGTAAATAATCTTCATATGTTTTAAACAGAGATGGTTTCGAGCAAGATTACAGCAAAAGAGGTTTATTCAGAAACATCAGAGCATAATGAAAATTGAGCATGAAGGTCAAGAATGGTTGAGCCAGCAAAACAGAGCCGCATTAGTAATTCAGAGAACAGTACGCCATTTTCTCCTCCATAAAAAACAGGAAAAATTTAACAGTGGAATCACTAAAATTCAGGTAACTGATAATTGTGTGTTTTTAGCTGAAACTTTGATATATAGTTCACCTACCTGACTTCTGATATTTTAAAAATTCAGACACATACATTTTTAAAAAGTCAAGACAGTCACTAGTAGATTAATTCATAAATACTACACTAACATTATTTCATTACTAAGCCCATTATTTCCAGATTTCTACGAGGATGTTCATGATTAAGAGCTAAAAAGACGTTTTATCTATTTGAATAGATTTAGACATCTTTGGTCATTGAATGATGGCTCACTCTATATATGAGGATATGCTGTGTAACTCTTTTTAGAAAAATAGGTTTTACTCTTTATTAGAACCAAAAGTAAAGTTTTAGCTGAAAAGTATGTATAGAGAAAATATTTACATTGAGAAAATAGATATAGTTATTAATTCAAAATATCATGGGATGTAATCTTAAAATTGTTTTTATCTTATTAAGGCATTATGGAGAGGATATTCTTGGAGGAAGAAAAATGATTGTAAGAAAATTAAAGCTATACGACTGAGTCTTCAATTGGTTAATAGTGAGATCCGAGAAGAAAACAAACTTTACAAGAGAACGGCACTTGCACTTCATTATCTTTTGACATATAAGCACCTTTCAGCCATTCTTGAGGCATTAAAACACTTAGGTTAGTTCTTCGTTTTATTTTTGTGTGTGTGTTTTTTTTTTTAGCAATATCTTACACAAGATCAGAAATAAATTTTTACCTTTGAATATTTAAAGAATATTGCGATACTATAGTATTAACTAAAACTTTATTTAGTTGCTATGAATTTACCTGTTTTTTTTTTTTTTTTTTCCATTTCAGAGGTAGTTACAAGATTGTCTCCTCTTTGTTGTGAGAATATGGCCCAGAGTGGAGCAGTTTCTAAAATATTTGTTTTGATCCGAAGTTGTAATCGTAGTGTTCCTTGTATGGAAGTCATTAGATATGCTGTACAAGTCTTGCTTAATGTAGCTAAGGTAATTTTCCATTTCAATAATGAAATGTCTATTGGTCAAGAAATATGACTCTGCAAATTAAGTCTGTAATTCTTCATCACTAGACCTTAGATCTCAAAAGTAAAATTCATTTTTGTACACGATTCTTAGGGAAATTATACTCAATATCACAAAACAAAATATGTATGAATTTTTGAAAAAACCAATTTGTTCTGTCAACTTTCACCTGAATAACAATTAATAAAAGCAAGGGAAAAAACAAAACAAAACAGAGTCTTGGGGAAAAAAACGGATAACCTATTCTATAACCCCAAATATGGTTTGTCTATACCGTTACAAAAAGGAGCACAGTACCTAAGGCGTTTGACTGCTAACCAGAGAAGGTTGATGGTTCAAATGCACCAGCTGCTCCGTGGAAGGAATATGGGACAATTACTTCCATAAAGCTTTACGCCTCAGAAATCCAGTGGGGGTCTCTGTGAGTCAGAATCGACTCGATGGCAGTGAGTTTAATTTTGGTTTATACCATAACCATAGATAGAAACATTTAGTTTTCGTACACTTTAAATTCTTATATTTTTATATTAATAACAGTGGTAACTGGTCTTTATTGAGTACTTGCTATGTGCTAGATATGGTTAAGTATTTTTTCTTGTGTATTATTTAATTTAATCATCTACAGTCATCCTATAAGGTAGTTAGTAGTAGTATTCTCACTTTCTAGAAGAGGAGTAATAAAATTTATGGAAGTCAGGTTCCTTGCCTAATGGTCCAATTCTGATAAATAAAAAAAGCAAACCAAATACACTGCCATTGAGTAGGATCCGATTCATAGCAACCCCTCCTTGGGTTTCCGAGGTGGTATCACTATGGAAGTAGATTGCCCAACCTTCCTTCCAAGGAGTGGCTGGTGGGTTTGAACTGCCAGCTTTC